AGGTTCGAAGTACCTTCTGAGCAATTTTTCGGATAGTCCCCGTCTTTGTACAGGCGTCCACACCCATACCCTGTCCCCGGTTTCGTACGTTACAGGTGTATGACGTTGGTTATAGCGGCCTGCGTCATACTCTTGCTGTTGGTATATTCGCAGACGTGCGAGCTGCCTGGCTTCCTCTGCGCGTTGAGTAAACGCGTCAGCACTCGTTTCGTTGTCATTGCATTCGTGTGGCAGCATCGCGTCTAACATCGTTCTTACTTCTTGTCCGTGAACAAGGCTGAATGGGGACATCCGTGTGGTTTCTTGTTTCGCAGTATTGTATGCGAACATTATGTAGGGAAGAATCTCGTCCCAGTTTTTGTGTTCGAAGTCCACATACATCGAAAGCATGTCTTCCAGAGTTTTGTTAAGTCGCTCGGTCAACCCGTTGGTTTGTGGATGGTAAGCTGTCGACTTGCGATGAATAGTACCACTGAGCACCAACACATGATCTAAAAGCGTGGCCGTGAATGCGGTTCCGCGATTTGTTATAACGATCGATGGCGCACCGTGTCTCAGCACAATGTTCTCCATGAAGAACCGGGCTACCTCCTCTGCTGTGCCTCTCTGGATGGCTTTTGTCTCGGCGTAGCGAGTAAGGTAGTCGGTCGCCACTATAACCCAGCGGTTACCAACACTAGAGCTGGGAAGTGGGCCCAAAAGGTCCATTCCAGATCTGGTCAAATGGCGTTGTCGGGATCTGGACAGGCTGTAGCAAACCGGCTCGTTTCGTTGGAGGTGACTTGCGCCGCTGGCAATCGAGGCAGGTCCGAACATGATGCTTCACGGTAGCGGTGAGTCTAGGCCAGTAATATCTCCCTCGAACTCTGCTCAGTGTGCGCGTGTAGCCTAAATGTCCAGATGTTACCTCGTTGTGGCACGCTTGCAACACCTCAGAACGAAGAGTGGTAGGGACGACAAGCAGGTAGGCGGACCCGTCTGACGAGAAGTCCATTTTGTAAAGGACATTGTTTCGCAGACAGAACGACGATAGTCCTCTTGTAAAGGCTTTGGGTGCATTCTGGCTTCGTCTTTTTAAATAATTAATCAAGCCAAGTAGCTCAGGATCGTCATGCTGGTGAACTGCGATGGTTGACGTGTCGAGGATTCCGAGGAACGCTGTCTCTTCATCAAAAGCAGCAGCCGACTCTATTGGTGATCACTGATCACGCAAATTTACCGATGTGAGAAATTCTGTGCTTGAAAGTCAGATATGCTATGTGATGTGTATAAGGAACATACATCAAAATAGGGCGTGTACCAACATGAAAGCTAAGGAATGCTTCAGTCAATAAGAAGAACAAGCTGCCGAGCGGAAATTTCCCTAGTCTTGTTTATACTGTAGTCTGCCACGATTGTGACAACCCGTTAATCTACGAGAACTGTGATTTCAATGAAAGAGTTAAACGACACGAATATGATGTCACCAAATCATGGGTGGCCTTGAATGCCCTCGCTGAACATGTGGAATATACAGGCTTTCAAATGAACTGGTCAAGTAACCGTGTTCTGGTCGAAGAAAACAAGCTTGCATCATGCCAGCACCTGGAATCCCTGCACATGCACACAGCTGCACATATCCTCAATAAGATTTATGGAACGCTGACCATATACTTTTGGTGCTTACATCACGCACCTAGTCATACTTAAATACGATGTACCTTTCTCATGGCTATCATTCAGAACAATATCGGGTGCCCAAGCGTCAATAAACTTTGTGTTGTTTTGGTCAGTGTATCCTTTTGTTTGTACACCAAGAAGAAACAGTTATGCATTGCCTTTTTTTCAGACCTCTTCTAGCTGTTCACTGTAGTTGCAGTTGAAGGAGTGACCTTTTGAGTATTGATCAAGGGTAATGCTTATTTTTGTGATGATGGCACAGACTGCCGTCAGTTTCCATGAATTGGCCAGGTTTTACCAAAGTTCCCCCAGTTTCAAAAGGATCAAAGTTCCCCCAGTTTTCCATCGACTTTTCCAGGTTGGTAGACACCCTGCACAAATAAAGATAGATGGCAGTTAAATCACGTCCTGTGTTTCTTGTCTTATGCGAGTGTCATTCTGCACTTTATTACTTTGGAAGTACTTGTTGCTGGGCTGGTTGGTATAACATTATTAGGGGAAATTATAGACGATGCGAATGTGTGGTGCGGTGTAAATATTTTCTGTAGTTCAGCTGCGAGTGATGCTCCTTCCCTGTGCTTTTTCATTTTTCCTGTGGTGCTTAGGCATCTACAATTTTCCCCCTTAGCTTAATTACCTCCCTGAAGCTATGTACCCTCTCACCCATTAATAACCATCGTTAAACTATTGTATGTGGCATTGTTGATGCAAAATGACCTTAGAGTATATCCTAGAGCTCCTGCAGGATCACCGGCTGAATGCGACAACCAGTTCACCATTTATAGGACACGAAGTGCTGACACTTTCAATATATCTGTTTGCACAGTGCGTCACTGGAGTCATGCAAGCTTAAAATATGGTGCTCCCACAAAGAAATTTTTCTTCCTGTGCTGTGACCAATGGGAAAACTATGTAGACAATAACGAAGAGAAATCACAGTTAGGCTTAGCGGTGTGATGTCTGCCTCAATAAATTAATGTAATAAATTAATGCAAGTGTGCTTATATCACCATGGCATTGCCAGTTTATTACTACATTTGATATGAACCTCTGCTCACTCCACCATGGTGTTCCTGGGGGTGTACACAGTCTTACCTCTGAGACAGCATTGCCAGAAGTAATTTCACTGTCACAATCTTGAACAGGTGTGCAACAAGCATGTGCCAGTGCAGAGAACACAAGAGAAGTGGTCACTGCTTGCATGTTCAAGGTCCTATGCACGCACACCGGACTATGATTTTACAGTCTTACATTTTGAGGGGAGTATACATGGTGATGGCTGGAGCCATCTTTGTGGGCATCAGCTAGACTGTCACAATGTGCATATTGTTGCTTGAGACAATTGTTTAGGACAAAAAAAGGGCACCATAGAAAAAAAAATTTTAGGCTAATGTAAACGCTTGTGTTGAGGAGACTCTCAAAAGGTATATGGTGTGTCATCTTGCAACATATAAGCAACATTTATACCTAGTTTATGTTAGTAGGAGTCTGCTAAACATTGGCCATACAAGCTTGCGGCTAGAGAAAGATGATGTCCAGAAGATACCCTCCTGAAATTTTAACCTGCACTGTTCTCCTTTGCCCTTCTTGGTGCACTGGAATTTTTGCCACTAGTTCCTTCAGTGGGTGCTTTTGAAGGGCTTGTCCTGCTGTTGAAACTTGTTTGCTTGGCAGAAATTTTTAACAGGAAAAGAAGCTTCAATCGTTACACAATTAAATAAAGCTACAGCATTGCAAGATTACTATGATGTTATGTACACAGACCTCCCACATACAACTCACTAAAATGTCACCAATTACCTCTATGGTGAGCCTGATTATGCTTTAAGACAGCATGTAAGTTTCTTGATCTTATACGTTTTAATCAGTATATGAACCTTGAAAAAACAAGATCGTCACGCGCAGTGCATAAAACCAGTGCTTATGAACTGCAATGATGCCATCGGAAGCATCAGCAAAAGTAAATTCACCCTGCTAGAAAGGAAATTCTGCATGAAGCCTGCAAATGTACTGTTAACAAAGTATTCTCAACAACCTCATTACTTCTATTTCTGTAATTTGCATAATCCTGTCTCATGCATACCTTGCTGTCAACCCAAAAATTATTGACCTCTGAGGTGTTACTCAAGTGACCATGCTCATTAAACATACCTGCAAGCCTCAGTGCTAACATAAGAAAATTGAAGACTTTGATAAAGTAATGCTCTCTGCTACTCACCCCTTCAAAAAATTGTTTAGCATCCCCTTCAAACCTGTTTGTTTAAAGACTCAACAGGCACAGTGGCGTGACTCATGAAAGGCATTTCCGGAGCTTGTGGAGCAACTAAAATCTCTTTGGAGCAGCATAAAAGCCGCCTGAAGCTTTTAAGCTAGAGCTGTTGCACCACATGTCACACGGAACTAGTTCATGAACATATGCATGCATGTTCACTCGGACTTCTGCTCAACATAAACGTAAACTTTTTACTTTTCTGCAGACATCCCCAATTTATATCAAGCTACCTAGCACTTTCCGGGAATTCACATGGTATTTGTAAATGACTGTGGCTTTCAGTGATAGTTCAGCTACAATATTGAAGCACGGACTAGTAAGACTTTTTATGCATTCTATTTACTTTCCAAAAAAAAGAGGTCTGATTATATTAGTGCTTTTATTAGTACAACCTAATCATTCAATGTGTGGAGAAGTGTTTGCTGTCATCGTTTATGTACAGAATTGTTAGGTTCCTGATTAATGAGCGGTTCATAAAAAAAGGGTTTTGTAACTGGTCCTTACTGCCCATTATTTATTATGGCTCGACAAAATATAGAGTTATGGGGGAGTAAGTAGTTACACTTGGCAAACTGTTTGACAGTCGTCGAGGTCAAGAAGCCCAGCCGAGACATACCGGAATAGTGGAACACCATGCTTTCTAGGAGAAGTAACAGTGATTGTACAGCATGCGGTACTGCTGATAAAATTTGCCCACTGTATGGACTTAAAACTTAACCACCCTGTATGAAATATTTTGAAAGTAAACTGTCACAAATAGGACCACAAATAAAATGTCCTTGTTGTCTCAGTGTCGTCGTTTTGTTCTCGCGCTATAACTATCGTCATGCCATGACACGGAGGAAGTTTCCTCCGTGTGCCATACCATTGATACCAACCAGCCCACGCTGCCACACTTCTAAGTTAGTGAGGAACATTACGGTAGACCTTTCGTTTTCACCACCTAAACGTCCCCAAAAAATGTCCAACACGGCGATTCTTTCGCCGTCTATTCATACTTTTTAGGCCAAGTCTAGCCGATTTTAAGCGGCTTGACTTGACCGAGCGTTTTGGCTTTTTAAAGGTTCGTGCCACCCGCTGGCAGCAGACGCGGCCCAAATCAGAGCCAATTGTTCTATGGCCAATTCGAAACTTCATCTACTCACGTGCTCAAGATGTCGCCGTTCACCGTGAGCGTCGCGAGATTCCTCAGAGTTCAACTAAGCCGCTCTTGCTGTCCATTGTGGTCGCGCTCGGCCTCCGATGACGCGCGGAAAGTGGTGCTGGACGAGCGGCGGTGGGGCGACCGACAAGCCGGCACGCTTCTTCGAGTGCGGTTGCCGTGTGGCGCCGCGGTTTCGGCCATCGAAGACGGCGAGCCGGCGGCAGTAGTGACAGCGACGTTGGTGGGCGCCAGGCATCTCCGCGAGTCGCCGATCGCGCTCTCGCTGGACGGCGCCGCGCTCACCGTGACTGGCGTAGACGGAAAAGTGGCGGACTTGGTGTGCCGGCTGCGCGTGCCCTTCATGACGAGTGCGTGCATGCTGTTCCGAATTCAATGACGCGGTGTCGTCCGGTACATGAGTGACCGGCCATTGTCGTTTAATTCATGTATACCCTTAAAATATGGGCTAGGTTGGTTCAATTTTGAGGTGCGAGCGTTTGAATGCAGCCGGACAAGAAACGAATTAAATTAATTGACAAATTAATGCCTGCACATCTGGCACCGCTTCATTTCGTTTATTTGAGTGCATTCACGTTTTTATGTATAAATGAAAAAAAAAACGTATAAATAGTGCCTATGCAGCATTAGAAACTAACCTAATGTCAGAAGTCTTGCAAAATGGCAGAGATATACATAAGTTACAGCTCCAACGAACTGTTGGACATGCTGCCTGTCACAAGTTATCGTTTCGTCAACTTTTATTTCTTCACATTTACACTACAATTGCTTCTAACAACATCGTATACTTTCTTTGACATCATTTCCGGTTACTTCTCATTAATATTGTGTCTAACAAAGGAATATAGCCCTTAAATTTACACTAAAATGCCTCGGTGCTTCGATTTTGATTCAGGATAGTGATGACATTACAGTCATCGAAAAAAATGAAGCAAGTTGTTCACACACAAGACGAATACAGTATAACTACAGAGCCAGAAACATGAAATGAAAGTATATAAAAGTCAGAAGTGAACGAATTTGCAGCTTTTCTGGTTTAATAATGCATGTTTGTTCACCCTTGAATGTTGTTGAAAGGCCCATGCTTCGAGGGAACCTTAAAACTGTTGTCCTTTCCCAATCTCAGTCACAATCCCATCAGAATAGCAACAATAAGGATTCGATTCTGGCGTTGACTCAAGAACCACCCGTTTTATATAACAATGCATCATCTTAAGAGCCACTGTCGTCAGGTGGCCAGTTTCGAAACAGCAACATTGGGCCTGGAGAGACCACATATATAAGTCGTGACTGTGTAGCCGACAATCCTATTTGTATAACAAGGGTGGGCAGTGACGAAACTACAGAAGCAGTTGTTACAAGCTGACCTAAGAGCAAGGCAACAAATATATGCTTCCAAGCAAATTTAAACTGTTCCAAAAGTGCGAGATGTACTATTTTGTAAAAGGCACCGCTCACCGAGAAAGCAGTGTAAGCAACAGCTACAGTACATTCATGCATCACCTCTTTGTGCAATGGCTTGCTATGTGGTTTTGCATTTGTACTGTCCGAGAACGTGCATTGTCTGGTCGCACTTCGGAGTACTCAGGCGTTAAGCTGGTTTGGCATGTGGTTGCATAAGATCTATTCCTAAGAACCGGTAGCTCTTCTCAGGAGGTCGAGTTGTAATGAAAGGGTTGTTCAGTGCGATTTTGACATGGTATGATGTCTTATGTTAACTTAATATGAATGACTGTTGCACATATTGCTTAAAATTTTTTCAAAAAAAACAAAACAACTCCTACACAGGAATCTTTGCGATGTGCACGATTGGACAGGTGCATGTGTTTAGAAGACAAAATGGCAATTAGCACCCGCTGCATGTGGTACAAGAGGCACTCTACCAACGAGCGCCATCCGCAGTTGTTGGGAAGAGACAATTTGATGAAGAACGGGGCAGCAGCGCAGATGTGCCTGGAAGAAGAGGGTGTCCAGGGCGCGAGAGTAGCGATCTGCCGAATTCCTGGCTGAAGGTCGCAGCAGCCTCCCATCTGGTACCTTCTAAAGTTTCTTCTCGGTGCACGGCGTCAGTAGACTAGGGCAAGGATGCGTGATGTGCGTCTACCACCACAAAGAGCAAACAGTGGCTGGTGAACGACAGCATCTAGCGCCACATCTGCTGTCATCGCCTCAGTTCAGTGTTCACCTGCTTATGCCCTTGCCGCACTGACCTTTTCCACTGAATGGTGAAACCATTCTACTTATATGCATACATTATTTTCACTTTGTTTACTCTTCCACTATCTGTCGTGTCCTTGTGCTCTGTAAATATACTGTGTTCGTCTTGCGTGTGAACAAACAGCTTCGTTTCTTTCAATGACTGTAATGTCATCACTATCCTGTATGAAAACGAAGCGCCGTTAGCTCCATGGCAACTTCGTTCCTTTGTACATTCCTATGTTATTCATAGAACACACACATTGAGTTAGTGTCCAAAATATGTGTACGTATGAAGAGGAGTGGTGCAACTTACAGTGCATCAGTTTCAAAGATGCCCTATCACATTCTGCAGCTGTTTTACAGTATGAGCTCGGTCCTACTTTTTGTCAGTTTATCAAGTCTTTATAGCTGGTGCCAATATCAAAGCAGCTGGTACAATCCAAATTCATCATTTCGATTCAGCGTTACTTCAACGACTGCTTGTTTTTAATTAAAGAGACCCTGCAAACAATGTCTTCACATGGTCAGAAAAAGCTACAATCGGTTGACTGTCTTAGAACACGTTGTCTTAAGACACGTGAGCCACACATTTCTAATGCAGCTCACGGCCTGCAATTTACGACGAATCCCCAAAGTCAGCTGAAAATCACTCTCTCATCTCTCAATAAATTATGCCATAAACCCAAATGATCACACCATAAACTCAAAGTTTGCAGCCATTGACTTATTTGAACATCATGAGCTGCATAGATAGGTGCTAAATTGTGACAATTGTTTTCAGCAGTGATAAACTCCTGTTGATCAAGCTGTTCAGAGATTAATTGGAAAATTGTTTGGGGCCCCTTCAACATTATCCGATTTGAGATGGACAGTCTTTGCTGGCCAGGCCCCGAACTTCAAGGCGATCACTTTCGGAGATATCTAAAAAATTTTGCTTTCAGTGCATGCTAATTAGGTCGCCGAGTGAAGGCAACAGGCATTACTTTTCGCCATGCAATGCAACACTGTCACCAAATGTGAATGTCTCAATGTGCAGCCTGAGGAATTTTCAGAGCAGTAGGCATTGGCATGTTCATGATGCCACGTAACCTGCGATGAGAGTCTTATATGATAACTTCAGGCACAAATTATGATGTCCTGTTTATGAATATGTCATATTCACATACCACAATTGCAGGGCACTCAGTAATGTATTCTAAGAAAGAAAATGAAGCACTAATGTGTCGTTTTGTGTAAGTATTAGTGATTAATAGTAATCAGCATGTAATTAAGTACTTTATTGTCCTGCAGCCAGTCGTTCCAGTTTGTCATGAAAAAAATTATGCCATAGGCTTTAAATGTGTGCACACTTGGTTGTTGGTTGCATTCATTTCGAAAAAAGAAAAGCAATACTTTTCACATTGGTTTTCACAGTTCGGCAGCGGCGCAAAGCAGCAACAAAATGGCTAATATTTCACGGCAAACTTGCAGGAAAGTACCGTGCCTGGGGCTGACCCAAACAGAAGACGCCGCGTGCATCCTCCTGGACTGGCTGCAATATCAACTGCTTAAAATGAATACCGCAAGTCATTGACACGTGCTTGAGGATACTCCGAGAGGCGGCGCGGCTGCTCACATCGACGGCTACAAATATTGCATCGTGGACGGCCTCAGATCAGTTCGGAAGTGGTGCAAAGCAGTGACGAAATGGCTAATATTTCACTGCAATCTTGCAGGAAAATACCGTGCCTGGAACTGACCCAAACCGAAAGCGCTGCACGCACCACGCCGGACTAGCTGCAATATCAACTCTTGAAAGGAATACCACAAGTCATCGACACGTGCTTGAGGACACTCCGAGAGATGGCGTAGCTGCTCACATCGACGGCTACAAATACCGCATCGTGGACAGCCTCGGATCAGTTCGCCAGCGGCGAAAAGCAGTGACAAAAGGGCTAATATTTCACTGCAAACTTGCAGGTAAGAACTGGTGACAGTTCTACATAAAATAGTTTAGATTTAGAATTGCTGCCGGACATCTTACGTTGTGTTTATACGTGCTACTTTTGAACTTGAGTGACTTGCACGTGAACTGATCTCAACTTAGCATCTGTGGAAATGAGTAAAGATTGGAGAGATAGGAATAAATAAATTGAGTTTGCTGCCACTTTGGATGATTTCGAGCGAAAGCTGCGTATCGCATTGAGAGGGTTGAAACAATCGATTCAGTACTGCAGTGACACCTACGATGAAGTGAAAGCAATGACTAAAGAAATAAAGGAACTTCGCCCTGAGATGGAAGGCATTACTGCCATGAATAAAAAACTAGAACCAGAAATAAGCAATTAAAACTTCAGATTCGAGAAATGAAATAATGCCAAAGGAGCAGCAACCTTGAGATGAAGGGTGTGTCTGATGAGCTTGACTGGTTGACTGCTGTTTATAAGGTATGCCAGTTTTTGACTGTGGAAATTCATGAAGACCATTGATGTATGTCATCAAGTGCCTACGAAGGACCCAGAAAAAAGAACATCGTTGTACGCTTTGTAAGACGCTCTGTGAGAGACAAAGTACTTAGAAAAGCTTAAAAAGAGAAAATTTGTGAAAGGATATTGGTCACAGAGACACAAAAACGCCAATATATGTCAATGAACATTTATCTCGACAGAACAAGCAATTGCTTGCCGCTATACTCACTAAAAAGCGGGAACTCGGTTGGAAGTTCATATGGACAGACAGAGGAAAGATACTTGCCCGGAAATATGAGCACAGGGAGGTCATGCGGATTGTGAGTCAAGATGACATGGCAAAGATGGCTTAAGAATTATAAGATCAACAAAAAAAGAAAAAGAAGTCCTGAATGGTTGCATGGCACATTCACCGCAAACATATAAAGCAACTCACGAGGCACAACAATTGGGCTTCTCATTTTTTCATTTGGACACAAGAAGTGTTAGAAACAAACATAATAGCTTGCAGACATACTTGGAAGTTACTGAGAACTCAGTTTGACGCTGTTGTATTTTCTGAAACTTGGCTCACAAGAAACGATACTGCTCTGTTTCTTGGTGCTTAGACGTGCGAACGACTCGACAAATTGGAAGAAAGGGGCGGTAGTTTGGCAATATGCCTTGAACAAGGTTACAGCTATGACGTCAGAGATGATTACACT